TTGTTTATCCCTTTGTGATCCTTTATCGTCTAAAGTCATAAGAGTACATATTCGGATAATAGATGCAAATTTTTCCATAAATCAAAATTTGTTTTCTTTTCTTAATTCTGTATCTTCTGTGTCCCAAAAACAGAAATGGTCCGACCAAATTTTTTCCCACGATATTATTATACCATTTAAATGCAAGAAGTAGTCTTAAAATTTCTTGGGGAAGACAAAATACGCTGTTTCTGCCTTCTGGTGGTGTATGTAGTTTGACAAAATGAATGCAGTCAACTTCACCGTACAGAGTTTCCACCTAATTCAGTGATAATTTGAATGACATATATGACTTTATCGTGGTAGTCGGCGGCTATATCCTCGTATATTCCTCGAATACGCTGTACCACTGGTCTAGATATATAAATATATTCACCAACAACTATATTAATCTTACCATTATCATTATTCTCAAGAGTCAAACATGTTGGGTATCTCAGACCAAAAGAAATTAGAATGGAGAAAATCTGTGTCGTGTACGAAACACTATCTTACAAGCGTCTTTGAACTTGGTACACTTACAATGGGTAACAAAGTATGCAGATAGAACTTGACTAACTCTATGCTCAGACAGAAGAGAAGAGAGAAGAAGAACGACAGACATGTATTTCCTCCTTAGTTTCTCTCCAAAATATTTCAAGTTCTCCTAGAAAGGTTGTTGTTTAAAAAGTTGGTGAAAGACTCTTTTGAAAGCAATCTAGGACAACAACTCTTTTGAATATCACATTATTGAATGTTTCTCCAATAAACCCCCACACATTCAAATAAAGTGTGTAAATGAATGATGTCTAGGGGTGTGCAATCGGTTAACCGAACCGTTCTAAAAACGAACTGTTTTAACCCGAAGTTTTTAAAGGTTAAAACCGTTAACCGGACCGATCTTTGTATATATTACCGAATTAAATTAACCGAAGAGATTTTTTTTTTTGATTAATCGGTCGGTTATCCGATTAACCGAACTTTTTTTAAGTTAAAGTTTTAAATCTTTAGATCTTTAAAATAATCCCTATACAAATAAATTTAATTAAAATAATATCTATAATAAGAAATTTAATTAAAATAATACCTATAATAATAAATCCATAAGAAAATATACAAACACAATACCACAATAACACTACAAACATAAAAACACAAATTATAGAGTCCAAATATCTCTCCCCCCCCCCCCCACCCCCCCCCCCACACACATATATATATTTAAATTTTTGGTTAATCAATAGTTTTAAATCGAATTAATCGGTAATCGAAATTTTGCAAGTTGAAATTTCCCAATCAACAACAGTCATATTATAATAACTGTCAATTGATTTAAATGTTTAAATTTAAATTAAGTTTATAATCTTTGCAAGTTGGAGTTTATAACCTCCATGAAACTTTTAGGTAACTTCTTCTTAGAGTTGGGATATAATTATATGTAATATATATATATATATATATATATATATATATATATATATATACACGTGCAATTGTGCAGTTAGACTCACATTAAACATTAAATTAACGCACTTTAAATACACAATACACGCACATTCAATACACAAATAAAATACCACTTTAAGCACAAAACTCACGCAGCTTAAGCACAACCTTCACGCACCTTAAGCACAAAACTCACGTACCTTAAGTACAAAAACACATGCATCTTAAGTTTCAACAACTAGTCACATTAGGTACAAACTCACGCACCTTAAGCACAAGACAAACGCACCTTAAGGACAAGACTCACACACCTTAAGTACAAAACTCACGCACCTTAAGCACAAAACTCATGCACCTTAAGTTTCAACAACTATTCACATTCAGTACACATGCACGCACGTAAAGTACAAAACGCACGCACCTTAAGCACAAGCCTCACGCACCTTAAGTATAAGCATACACTACTTTGACACCTGTTGTGTCACAGACGCACAGTGTGGTTAGCTTTGACATGGTCTTTGGTTTTTTGGGAATTGTTTGGTTACAGTTGTTCGAACAGGAGTTCACGATCGTGGCCCAGGATTTACTATCGGCGGCTACACGGATTACTGAAATGATCCAGGAGAACCCAACTCAGGCTCGGGACCACCCCGAGTTCAAAAGGGTCGGCGATGCGGCTAGTTTGTTGAGGAGGGAGACACCGGAGACGCCAGAGGGCATGCACCACAACAGCAACGCACCAATTCAGCCACCGATTGCGTCCATAGCCCCCCCCCCCCCCCCCCCCTCCCCGGTCGATGCTATGTGGCAAGACACACAGTTTTTAATGGAATTGGACCGGGTGGAGGACGCAGCGAGACGGGGCTCAGCAACCTCCGCGGGGTCGGGGCAAGCGACCACAGAGGAGTTGGGTGGGGTCGATGCACCATCTTTTAGCTTAGGCTTGACACAGGAGCTAGCAACCCCAAGAGTCGACAACCGCACGGCAGAGCCATCGGACATACGGACGCCATCTCCACAGGTATGAACTCTAACACCCGCATGCACGACTATATATTTCCATGTTCGTCCGTCTTAATAAACGCAGGTACCCGTACACGCAGGTACAACGGCGGGAGACTAGGCCGGGGAAAACAACGCAGGGTACAGCCTCAAAGCTGAGAGATGATGTACGCCGCGAGCGCAAGAAGCCCCAAGAGCCTGAGGATGAATCGTTTGGCGTGTTTTTCAACACCGCCGATGGGTACCCTAGCATCCCACTTCTACCGATTTATGTCGTACGGATGTGACTGTTTGGCTTGCCGCATAGTGATCAGTAAGTCATGTGGGGCTCATGCACTTATACCAAATCTATTACTAACCCTAAACTCCATGTGCTGACCCTGTTTGGGGTAAAATATAACAGGAATCAAGTTTTATTCCAACATGCCAAACGCAAAGCTAGGTGGGCGGACTTCTTAACCATGAAGGAGGGGACGAATGTGACCAAGGTAATAATAGATGCGTGGTGTTCGGTGCTCAACGCTAGGGAGCAACCTCGAAGGAGCGGGGTGCTCAGTCGCCTGTTTGTCTCAACAGCTGCTACGGTATGTGTCCATTTTCCATTTTCTGCTGTGTATTCCATTTTCTGCTGTCCTGGTTTGCTGCAACTATGCCAAGTGTGTCTTTACTTACTATAAAATGCGAGCAGTGCACACTGCATAATATATTCCTCCTTCTCATAATATGTTTTTTGCAAAACAGTTTGAAATCGCCTGTGTGGGGGTAGGGAAATTGAATTCATTATTCTGTTTTCTATATGGATGGTGTGTTTTGAACTAGGTTAATCTAAGATGTCATGACCTCCATAATTGTTAATTAATGTATCATGTTCAGGCAAGGTATAATTAATTTTATGCCCATTCGGAGGACTGCGTTAATGGAGTTGGCCTCTTTTTTACGGACACAATGATAACTAATAATTGTTGTATTTACAGATTGGGATAGCAGTGGGGATCTCGGCAAGCCGTGATGCAAGGTTATCGTGGTTTAAACGCCGGTTAGATGCCGAATTCCACACAACTGACCTACTGAGGACAGCTACATTAGACATGGTAACCCATTCCACGTTTTTTATACACTGAGCCCCCAACAGTATGTATTAACTAAAACTGCCCTATTTCTTGTAGTATGTCTTCCCCATATTACGCAGGCCACGCTTTTATGTGATGTGCATCAATTTTAAGCACCCCAAGTTTGTAATCCTCGATAGCTCGTCGTCCCCGGACGTATGCACAGACCAATACGAGGGAGCACCGGAGGAACTGGTAAGCACAACCACTTTTACTCCGAGTGTGGTTGGAGCAATGGGATGGTGCATCTCTAATTTATGTAATTATAATTTGCAGAGAGACCTCTTAGCCGCATACCTCGATTCCAAACAACACACTGTCCGTGCTCTCCGGCTGAGGGTCATGCAACCCGAGAGGTTGTGTTTGGCATGGAGTGACACCGCTGCTCACGAGGACTCGGGAATATATGCTATGAGACACATGGAATCTTTTGTTGGACAGGATGCCGCAAGTTGGGGTAGTGGACTTTGGACAGGGGATCAACTGGTAATTAGAGCCTTGAGGAGGCGGTACTTGTACAACATCCTGCTCAGTGCAGTGAATTCCAACATGCAGTCTGTTCGTGCACAAGCGGGAGAGTATGACCGGAATAGGATGAAACGGTTGCTCACCGGTGCACCGCACACACCGGACACCAGTAGTTAAAACTTAGGATAATAGGTAGGCAGTAGCACGAACAGTAATGTTTACAGGACTAGTAGCAACTTAATTATCTGTTGCTCATTTAATTTTTATCTTCATTTTTTAGCAACTTGAGTACAATAAGGAGCATTCGTTGTTAATAAAATGCTCTTCGGCTGGTTTTTTTCCCCATTGAGCAATGTTACTCTATTCATATTATCTGTTTTTCCCAATAAATAAATTGACAGCCAACCTCAACATAAAATCTCTACGTCCATAATCGTCGTCCCTACCACTATATTGCTGCAAAACTACATTCCAATTACCTCCTAACCTTCCCAATATGCACCCATTTTGATTACTCCCACTACCATACATTACACTCATCTAATAGTACGAACACAGACACTAAAAAATATAGGAGAAAACACAAGCATACACTACGGGTAATACACCCAGTAGCCGAACGTGGAAATGCGCCATACTAACGCTACCCACCTCAAATGCACTTCAGTCTACCCTGTCAATACACTACCAAATTACTAATCAATTTAAAAGCTCACCAGTTGCCCCAGTGTTCATAATATTTTAAACATAACAGAACTCAATATTCTAACAATGGCCCGCAATCTATTATTTAAATATCGAATGATTGTCCACAATTAATTATTACAATCGCAAAAACAATGTTCGAACGTCATTACACTATTATTGCTAAATAGAGAAGTGAAAACGTCATTACAATATTATTACTAAACAAAAAATGAAATTCATATGTTGGAGAAAACCGGATTCAGGCACCAT